ACGCCAATATAGCTCCAAGTCAGAGGGCTCATCGACTGCCACAGAACGGTCTACGTGTCGCGGGATTCATGGTCGATTGCACTACTGCCTCACCTTCCCCTTTCGTGGGAGCCAACCTCTCAGGAGAGGATGGATAAACAAACCGACACCGGTCTAAACTTAATCCTACCACCTCAAACACACAAAACAGATTAACAACATGCGACTTTGACAAAGACAGACCACTACACCCAATTTGAAGTGGATTATCCTCAGCTGTCGGTAACCAAAACCACGATTTCCAAAACCAACAACTTATGAATCTGACTACGCAAACGTACATGGACATAATCACTCTCCCAACCAGCCCAGACTAGTGTACCAGAAAAGACCTCATTGTAATGCGGTGGAGATTGTGTCAGCACCGACGTGTTGACGGGCGAATACCTAGGAATAATAACACTCCGTTGGTCAGGAGTAAAAAGAAGCCCTGGTCATAAAGTACGATGAACCGTTACAGGCAAGTCATTTCTATTCAAAAGGGCGCTCAACGAATATCCGTGATACATGCCTCATCTATCTTCTTTCTAATCAGGTGGTAGGCATTTTTGTACTTATTCCACTGTATCGACAACTTGTCCAACATTTCAGTAGACCCAGGGGAACGATTGGTCATTAATTTGCTTCCTTCGAGAAGCACTTGCAATTCAGTTTCAGCATCATTCAAGTCCTTCATCAGTTTCTCGTTTTCGGGCTCCGATTCAATTTTTTTCCAATATCGATCTCGTGCAGCCTCATATTCATCAAATGTGACCAGTTTGAACCAGTGGCCACATTTGCAGCGAATAGGTAAGCCCCTATAGAGCAGCAGGTAGCTGATGTGATGAGATTCTTCATGGCCTTATTAAAATAAACAAAGTTTAGCTTGGAACACCAAGGGTTAACCAAAAAGACAAAAAGTTGACCCACATATACATCCAACGATGCGTCTTTCCTGATCAAACGGTATCAGGTTGGGAGCCTCCCTAGTAGTTGGTCCACCACGCCTAACTTTAAACTCATTGTAATTTATCTGTACCCGATAGAGATCAACTAATCAAACATACATCAGCATCTTCAATTTGCTCTAGTAGCTCCTTTTGAATATTGCTGAGGGATGAGGACGGTTCACGATCTAAGGGGAGGGAACCTGATACATGACAAAACGGAAACACATACCAGCATCACCACGAAGAATTTCGTTTGAAATTATGAAATTCCGAACTCGAGCATACACACTATTTGGCGGAGGGCGGCGGCAAACGGTATTAAAAGCCCGCGTTCCAATAAAAGTTCGGAAGCATCGCAGAGCCATGCGGAACCCAACAATCAAAGGCAGACAAAACACGCAAGTCGAGTTTACGCCGTTCTCACCTACGGTGAACCGCTGGAAAGCATTTATTGCATGCAAAACAAACCCCACGAATGCTACAAGGAAGGAGAGGTTCATTATTTTTGGAAATTTTCGCCTAATTGTAACAGCGAACATATTTCGAAAAGTAATTTGAGATGTATAGATTGTATAAACCACAGAAACACTAAAAAAGGCACAACAATTAATAAATATATGCGATTAAACTATTAAATAGAAGGGCGATTTTAGTCGAAAAATTCATCGAACAGACAAAATGAGCAAAGAATTTAAAGGTTTCTGTTCAACAAAAAAGCAATAGGTGAAGATACGGAATAAGTTTATTAAAAAAAAGAAGGACCTGACACAATGCATTGTTTTTTGCCTTGCATCTAGTTTATT